TGATGAGAACATCTCAAAAAGTGTAAAAACACAAATGAAGGAAGTACATGTATGATTGCTAGAAAAATAGTTTTCATATTGTTGGTGTCGAAGTTTATATGCCTGAAAAAGGATGATAGAAATATGAAATTTTACATATAATTATCACAACCAATTCTTTGAGCATCTATCACCAACTTTATGATGGACCAAGATCTAAGTTTGCATAATACAAGAACAAAATCCCCCTTCCCCAAACACCATCCCTTCCTTTCTTCTATCCTAATTCGCTACTTCCATCCTCAGTTTGTCCACCACTACTTCTAATCAACTCCACTACCACAACACCCTTCTTCCCATCCTCTCTTGTACCCCTCTTTCACATCAATTTAAATTTAAACATAACAAAAATGATCTAAAAATATATATAAAAAAATTTAAAAAAAAAACATAGCAAAAATGATCTAAGTCACTTTATCTACTTTCCTTGTCATACATATCTTAGTAACAAAAAAACATAAACTAATCAAAAAGTACAGCCTTGACATTGCTTGCTACCATTTTTACAATTCTTCTACCTTTTGCTTACTATATATCTTGGAAGAATATCTCATTAGATTTTTTTTAAATGCTTAGAAGCAAGCTTCTTTTATTAAACAATAACTTTTTCCATCCTCACTCGTGTAGGACCTACAATATAAAGTCCTTGAAGACCTCTAAACAATCATATTAATATAATTAGACAATTTTTTTCCATTTCATATTTACATTCCAATTTTTCTCTCTAAACAACCTGTCACGTTTGGAAAAAAATAAAAATCTTCTCCCCTTCTAAGTTCCACAATTGCATCCTATGGAATGTATATATTTTAATTAACATCTTTTTTATCTTCAAAATATATATCCAAAATACAATCTTATTTTGAAGAAAATTTTAAGCTAAAATGTACTTACAATATTAGCAAGCTTATTACAATTTCTACTCTATGCCTCATGCCTAGAGCCGTGCCTCCTTGTTTCCTCAGGCTCCAAATTCCTCAATATCTGCTTTATCCATTCCACAAATGAGTTCTGATCAGGTGCTATCGCATTGTGATGCTTCCCCCTATGACTGCTCTCGCTCCTTGGGCTTCTCCATCTGTGGAATCGCCCTCATCATATGCTCCTCGATCATCTTTTATCGTTGAAAGGGAAGAGGCTTAATCTGCTACTAACTCCACTTCTCACTTCCCCGCCTATTTTTTATTAAGAGCCCAAAACATCTCATCACAAGCTGTCATCTCCTTTCAAGATAAATTAGCACTCATTTTGTCTAACAAGGAGATCTCAGATTTGACATAGCCTTTTCTTTCACATTGAATAACAAGTTTCTTGGGGATGTCCTAGTATGAAGATTGTTTATAGATTCACAGTCAATCTGTATTTGATTGGGGTTACATTATTGGACTGATTGATTCTCATCACATTCTAATTAAGTTATCCCAAAAATCAAATTACTCAATAATCTTTTCTCAAGGATGATACTATATCGATGACTTCCCAATATGTATACTTAAATGGTCACCTAATTTGATAATTATGAGGAACCTTTTCTTACTCTAGTTTGGATTTTTTTTTCTTTCTATTGATTCACTGCTTAAACAGATCCATTCTATTTTCTCTTAGCTCAATCTATAACAGATCCATTCTATTTTCTCTTAGCTCAATCTATGGTAAACCATTCAAGTTGATGTAGCTACAGCTAGGCTATCCAAACCGTAAGGAGCTAGAACCAGTTTAAATGGATGTTACTACCCTTAAGGAAATTTAGATTTATTCCACAACTATTGGCTACTAGCAGAAGATGGAGTTGAAGGCATTCCTTCATATTGTTCTTCTTGTAAATATTTTTGCTACAACTTCTTAGGATGCTTCAGGGCACACCCAAGCTGCAAAAATCTGCTAGTAATTGAGATGGTGGGGACATTCATCAAATAAAAACTTATCTTCTACTGCAATGATGGCACTTCAGACTACTACTTTAGTAAAAACTTTAGATCCAGCATTAGAATTAGTGCCTCAATGAGTTGCTAGCCCAGCGATAGATTCGCCTGCACCTACAAGCAAGATGAATAATCCAGCCCAGTTATTGCGCGTAATAATCTTCTTACTGTTAAGAATATTGGTGATATAATGATGCAACCAAAAAAACGAGAAGCCTACTAGGTATGCAAATAATCGCTTCCTTTTCAAATAACTTAAATATGACAAAACAAACTTAAACAAGACACTACGACACATCACAATTTTTTAAAGAGAAGAATGATACAATGGAAGGGTTACCATGGAGAGAAGAACGGGATTAGAAGTTCGAGACGAAGTTTAAGAGGAGAAAGGGAAAGAAGCTAGCTCGCAAGCTAGAGAAACCCTCAGGTTTTTTCTCCAAAAATCATCACATAACTCTCTTTTAAACAACCACAAACAGCCCCTATAAATAGGGAAAAAGGAACGCAAAAGACACCCAAGCAGCCGCCCAAAACAGCCAACCAGAACTGGGGAAAGGCAAGGGACAACAGCTGCAACCGAACAGGCAAAGCAAGGGGAACCGGGCTAGCCAATGACCAGGAAATGAAAAGCCAAAGCAAGGAGAACCGGGATAGCCAGGGAGTAGGAACCGAACATCCAAAGCAAGGGAACAGGGACAGCCAGGGAGCAAGAGCCGAACATCAATTCTCCTTTGGGAGAGAATTATCATCTTCCGATGAGATAACTTCAGAACTTCCATGACATGTCGAAAGAGCCACATCCAACTCTGAAAGTAAAGCTGCATACTTTCTCTGGATTTTTTTTTTTTCATGAATAAATTGAGCTTGCATTTGACTCTTTCTCTTTTCATATTTTTCCACACACAAACATTTTTCTTGAATTTTGAAGAGTTCGTTCTAGATTGGATCAGTAGAGCTTCCTTGCGGTGGAACCTGTCTGCTTGTTGGAATTGAGACTTCAAGATCACTTGGTTGATTTTCGTCAACAATAGATTGTATTATATCATGATTTTCTATTTTTTCTTTTAAAGACTCAAAGAAAGGAAGACCCACTACAACCTAAGGCTCTAATACCAAATTGATGCAACCAAAAAAACGAGAAGCCTACTAGTAGGCATGCAAATAATCGCTTCCTTTCCAAATAACTTAAATATGACAAAACAAACTTAAACAAGACACTACGACACATTACAAATTTTTAAAGGGAAGAAAGATACAATGGAAGGGTTACCATGTAGAAGAACGGGATTAGAAGTCTGAGACAAAGTTTAAGAGGAGAAAGGGAAAGAAGCTAGCTCGCAAGCTAGAGAAACCCTCAGGTTTTCTCCAAAAATCATCACATAACTCTCTTTTAGACAGCCACAAACAGCCCCTATAAATAGGGAAAAAGGAGCCCAAAAGACACCCAAGCAGCCGCTCAAAACAGCCAACCAGAACAGGGCAAAGCCAAGGGACAGCAGCAGCAACCGAATAGCCAAAGCAAGGGGAACCGAGACAGCCAAGGAGCAGGAACCGAACAACCAAAGCAAGAGAATTGGGACAACCAAGGAGTAGGAACCGAACAGCCAAAGCAAGGAGAACCGGGACAGCCAGGGAGCAGGAACTGAACAGTCAAAGCAAGGTAACTGGGACAGCCAAGGAGCAGGAACCGAACAGCCAAAGCACGGGAACCAGGACAGCCAGGGAGCAGGAACCGAACAGCCATCCGCACCCCCCCCCCCCCCAAAAAAAAAAAAAAATCATCCCAAAAGGGGAGGGGGGGTGGCAGTGCTTGCATCATATAAACTCTCTGTTGCTTCTAATATTCAAGGTTGTGAAAATCGAACAGGACAATGAACCGGATAAAGAAGAGGTCAATAGTTCGATGGTTCAACTGGAGTTAAACCAATTGACGTAAGTCACGTAATAAATACTAATTTTATTCAAACATAATATAATTGGTGTAATAATGATGCAATCAATTTAATGTGACAAAAAATAAAACAAAATAAAAAATTATGAAATATAAAACATGAACAATACATTCTTTTTAACTAAAATGCAATCAAAGAGACTTGGGATCATTGTATAACACCCCCAATTAAAGCTACCCATGATTTGCCTTCAAACTATAAAACAAACTTTGGATCGTTGCATGGCACCCAATTAAAGCTACACATGATTTGCCTTCATACTATTTTGTTTCAACCACTTATTCCATCAAGATACTAACATTACAAAAGATAATGTTATCACATACATTCATCTCATAGCCAATCATCGGTTAACTTATCAAAGTCTATTCATATGAAATTCTAATTATTTTATTGGGTAAACTTATTTTCAGACATGCTATAACTTTACCTTTCATTATTTGTAGATTCAACATCAAAGAACACATTTTTTTGCGTGGCGTTCAGCAACTTATAGAGAAAGATGAATTGAAATATTCTTCAACTTTTGTTTGCTAGTACTAGACTAAAACTTTTGTTGTTTATTCCTTGAATATTCAACTTTTTAGAACATAAAAGTGTTCTAAATTTGTAATGCTGGATTTCGGTTCATTTACTCAATAGGATTGAATGCAAAATGAATTCATAATGCTGACCAATAAAAGTGTCATTATTCCATCATTGTCTTTGGACTGCTTGCAGAAATTTTAAAAATCCCTCTTAGTAGCGTAGGAAATACTTGTAGATTAGTTACCATTGCATCAAGTTCATTTCAAAATTAAATCGACTAATATTTATATATAATACTGCCAAATATTTTATGTCAACCAGATTAAGAGACATGTAAACTGAATGTTTTGTTCTCTAGCTTCCAATTTAAATTTGTTCATAGGTAACCATTCTCAACAAATTGCTCCCTGATGGGATGTTTTGAGATATTTCTTGGTCATAGGCAACTAGGGTTGCTCATAAATTTTTACATAAACCAAATAAACCAAGAAATGCACACTTATGAGTAAATGGTACATCCTAGGTGCACAAAAATAAGGAAGTATAAGTAGCTTACTTAAGCAGCACAAAGCCAATGACTCCAGCAAATCAAAGCTTATGCTTGAAAAATAATAGAGGCACCAGATGGCAAGTTCTTGGCAATCAACGGGTAGTTTTATAAAAGGTCCAAGGATTATGTCATCATCAATACCTACAAATCGAGAGCAAAAATTCATGAGGATAATGATTACAGAAAAAGCAGCAGAAATGAAATTACAACTGAGCCAAGAAAATGAAACATGCGCCTAAAGATGCAAGTTACACCCTTTCATGGAAGACTTACTTCTGCTGTAAAAGCCTGTCAAAAGCAACTGCAAGTGATCATACTCCAAAGCAAGAGGAGAGTTCAGTATACAAGATTGCCCAATAGATAAAAGCAACTTCAAAATTGCCTAGAAAACTAATCTAAATTAGAAAAGGCATACCAATAAATATGCAAACATATACAAGCCTTGTAGACAAAAAAAAAATTATTATTAGAATTGCAATTAATGCAAATACTTAACTCTATCATCTCTCCATGTCCAGCAATGAATATAGACAAAGTTAAACACAAAAAATTATTGGCATTGTAGAAAAAATTTAAGAAAGAAATCGCACATCACAATGCTCCAGTTGTCTATTGATAAGCCTTGTAAACAAAAAGTGAATTAATAGAAATTTCATTAATGCCAGTAATTAAACTACCATCTCGCTCCTCTTTTCTAGTTCAACAACGAATATAAACATGTGTGTATATAATACATTCTTTGAAAATCGTTATAAAGAACTTGTATCCATGTAATTTCTGTTGAACTTATTTTTATATCTAATCATCTGACATTTAATTTTATCTACTTATCTAATAGACGCTATTTCTATCATTCATCATGCATGCTCAAAACAACAAAGTCCATTTGTAGTCACCTTATCTTAAATAGATGTAACTCCAGCATTTCTTTAATATAATCATTTATTAATTTATCATTCCTATCGTTGACAAGTCCTAAGTCCTGGATGAGAAAAGTGGAGGGTTGTGTTAGGTAGCCGACAACCAGCATAAAACTTGTTGAATAATTGATGCAGGCAAACTAGAAAGAAAAGTCAAGATAGGAGAACAGTTGGACAATTGAAACCAACTCGATTCAATCTAGAATGCAAACATCCAAAATACCAAAACAAACAAAAAGTCGAACAATCAAAACAAAATTATAAAATAAAAATACTATCCTCAGAGCAACCGGCAAGCGGGTTCCTCACATGCAACGAAAAGTGGGAAAAATATGATAAGTGCTTAGGGCTTGCAAACCAAGGGTCCACCACAGCAACAAGGTTCAACATCCAACCAAACTCCTCCAGCAAATGTCACCAAATTCTGCCAACAAACACTTCCGAAAGCTCAAGAAGAATGATACAAGTGGAGTCGAACTTGCATAGAGAAGAAGAGATTAGAAGCCAAGACGAAATAGAGAGGAGGAAGAGATAATTGGAACAAGCTCTCAAGCTTTTCCAAGAGAAGAGAAGAAACCCTCAGTTTTTTAGAGATTTATCTCAAGTTAATCAACAACCTTTTCATCACAAAAACCTCTCTAATTTATAAGAGAAAAAGGGGAGCCAAATAGCCAACTTCTACCTCCAACCGAACCAATCAGGTAAGGGGAAGAGGAAGGACAACAGGCAACACAAAACAGCACCCGAAGAGACACCACAGAAACCGGGTAGAGGCAGCCACGGGAAAATAGCCACAGAAGAAACCAAAAAGACAACACAGGGGACCGGAACCAACACCCAGCAAAGGGAGGAGAACTAGCCACGGGAAACAACACAAGGGAGAAACCGAGGGGGGCACAAAGAAGGGGAAGAGGCAAGCTCCAACTCCACATAATGAGCTAAAAGAAGAATACCTTTTCATACTAATGAGCTAAATAGTGCAATTACTCCACCAAATAATGAACCAAATATCAGCTCAAGCATTAATGAGCTAGAGCCAAGTAGCTCTCAATTTTCCAGTTCAAAACCAATGCAGCCAAAGCCCAACTCGAGAGACAGCAAGCAGCCCAAAGACCAAAGAAGCTAGCACACCCAAGGTTTTCCATGCCCAAGCACATCCTACCATGATCATTGGATGTTCTCCATCATTGGATAGCATAAAAAAAAAAATGAAACAAACATTATAATATTCATATTACAATAAAACGAACATAAACTAAAGTATGCATGCATCAATAATCATGACATGAATCCTTTAATGGTGAAAAATTATTCATGTAGCCGAATCCACATAGTGGGACAAAGGCTTGTTGTTGTAGTTGTATTAATTTAACTTTCCTAATTTTGTCACATATAAATCTTAAAATTCTCATTTTGTTAAACTCATCATAGTTATCAATAACATTTTTTACAAACCAATAGTCAAGTTCATACAACATCATAAGTCTTACTGTGATTTTTTAAAATTTACCTTTAAACATCCATAATATCCTCTCCATACGTAAATCACTTCTCCACATTAAACATACTACCCTTACAACGAATTTCTGTTTTAGAAAGCCATTATCTTACCGGAAAAACCAACTTATAAAAAAAAAAAAGGCAAAAGGGCTGATCCACCCCAAAAACGTAGTAGAAAAAACATGAGATACAAGACATGAATCAGATAAAGCATGAACCACAAATGAAAGCATAGACAGCAGAATTGGAAAACAAGAAAACCTTAAGATTTGTATGACATAAATGATCAGCATTCTCAGAATTATTGATTTGCAAAAACAAAGAGAGAATAATATGCATGAATATAAGCAGAGATGTCACAAGTTAAAAGGCAAGCTGCCTCAAAAGTCATACTTCAGCAATTCTCATCAAGATTATAGAGAGATCAATTATAAAAGAATAAAAAAGAAAGAAATGATGTGAATACTATTAAATTGAGTGCCAGTCAGGCAAAGGAATACCGCAAAAGCAAGAGCATAAAGCAAAACATACTTTTGAAATATTTGCATGTTTATCACCAACACAACAAAGGATCCTGGGAAGCTCATGAAGCCAATCAATCTGAAAGCCTAACATTTCTGGATGATTGGTCAACAGCATACTGCGACTTGTTGTCTATGAAAACAAAGAAACAAATAAAGGAAAAGTTTAGATTTAGAGGGTTACTGCAAGTTCAACATTGATTAAACATTTGCTTAATTTAAGACAAGCCACATAAGACAAAGCCCCAAATGTCTTCAATTGAAAAAAAAAAACTTTCAACTAAGGGGTTGTTTGGTTAGCTTGAAAAAGAATGCAGTGTAAAGTAAATGCAAGTGAAAGTTTTTTCTTGTTTGGTTTGAAGTAAAATGAATGTAGTGTAAAGACAGTAAAGTACAAAAATGGTAGCGTGCGCCGGGTGGCGATGGTGGTGACCGGTGGCGGATGGTTGCGGTGGTGGTCGGCGGAGAATAGTGGTAGCCAGTGGAGGTGGCGACACTCGGCGATGGTGCCGGTAGTGATGGTGGATGCGGCAATAGTGCCGCCAGTAGTGTTGGTGGTTGCGGCAATGGTGCTGAAGGTGGCTGTTGACAGGGTGGCGGCGGCAGCCAGTGGTGGTCGGCAGATGGCAGCAGCCGACAATGGTGGGCGATGGAAGGTAGCGGCGGTCAAGCGAGCTTGCTTGACGTGTAAACGGTTCTCGCTCAATGCTGGGCGAGTTTAGTTTACCTCAAAAATGAATTAAAATGATTAACAATACATTTACTTAGTGTTCCATTTTCATCCAACCAAACATCAAAATTTTCAAAACCTCTACATTTGGAATACTTTATACCTACTTTACTTCCAACCAATAGCAGCTAAAACAAAAGAGTTATCATAGAAAAATCAATACAGGAACTGCTTAAAAATATGAACTTACAGGAAGCATCATTTCTTTTATTGCACCTAAATACAACAGAGAAAACTGAGAATCTATTCTGCAATCTTTAAATGCAACAGTAAAGGCCTGCACTCACAGCCAAATTGTGTCAGTTTTTCCATTTAAAATGCTTCAACATTACAAAAAAGTAGCATAAAAATAACTTAAACAGCACTTAGGCAGTCATGGAAAGGATTGAAATTTTTCTAAAATAAATATGGCAAGCACAACATGCAATAAATATATAGAAAAATTACATACATACAACAAAAACAACATCAAGCCTTTTATCCCACTACGTGGGGTCGCCTACATGAATCCTTTTTCTCCATAGTGTCCTATTAAAAGTCAAAATCTCGTTTACATTTAATAAAGAAATATCATTTCTAATATTTTCTAACCAAGCCTTTTTAGGACTGCCTCTACCTTTCTTTATGAGGATGCTCAGGTGGATGAGTGGTTGATCCTTGACGTAACCCAACCAAAATAGGGAATTACTTGGTCAAACCACCTTGTGTTTGAACACAAGTAATAGCTCCTGCATACATATCTTTAATGATTTGAATATAAGCGTTGTTAACTCCTTTCTCTTCAAGAACTCTCCATAGCACTTCTCTTGGAACTTTATCATATGCTTTTTCTAAATCAATAAATATCATATGTAGATCCTCCTCATTTTCTCTATATTTCTCCATCAAACCTCTTAATAAATGTATGGCTTCCATAGTCGACCTACCCGGCATGAATCCAAATTTATTTAAGAAAAATTACATACATGTCAGCCAAAATTTAGTATTTACGAAACTAACGCACAACCTAAACAATGAACTATTTAACTCATAAAGAAAATTTTCGAGTGCTAAGTATAATTATATTAACTGAGTACCTCCCCACTGAATGGGTGCTAGAAAATTTTATAATTAAATGTCATCTGAACTATCCTTGAGCCATTTCTAATAATACAACGTTAGAAACTTCAATGAATAGGTAAAGAACAAGTATTCTAATAATAATAACAACAACAACAAGCCTTTATCCCACTACGTGGGGTCGACTACATGAATCATTTTTCTAATATTTTATGACCAGTCTTTTTATGTCTACCTTTAACTTTCTTGACATAAGAAAAATTTAATACATCTACTTTCCTAACCGGGTCATCGGAAGGCCATCGTTTTATGTGACCAAACCATCTAAGGTGACTCTTAAATTTAAACATTGTTGTTGTCAAGTCCCAAGTCCTGGATGAGAAAAATGGAGTGTTGGGTTAGGTAGTCAACAGCTAGTATAAAACTTGTCGAATAATCATGACACGGTATTCTAATAATATGATGAAAAAATAAGATAAGACTACTCCATACACTGCATTCACTCCAATGAACTGCTAAGTAACATATTAGAAACAAAGCAAGGATTCTTTGAGATATGCAAAAATTAACCTTTAAAAGAGAAGTGCTCCAACCGCACGTAGCTCGTGAAATCAGCCCTGGAATAAACGGCAAAATTGAGCATAAATGCTTTTCCAATAATGCCTTATTAGAGGAAGAACTGCTAACAACCTGCAGGATAGATTCCATCAAATCAGCTTCTCATGTAAGAGAATAATAAAATTATCTAAATTTTTACCGTTATATCATTAAGAATTATCTAACAATATTCAAAAGATCACTAACAAACTTTTGAGAAAAAGTTATAACAAAAGATAGAATTTGTGTAATCAGTACCGTAAGAAAAAGAAATCAAGGTTCAGAAGAGAAAAAATGTCAGTACAAACAGAAAAATTGTTAACAATTGGCACACATAGAAGGACCAGAGAAAAAAAAAGGATAATGGAGCAATAAAGTCTGATTCTTACAACCACCGAAGACTAAAATACTTTGCTTTTTTGTTATTATTAAACTACTATTATTCTGTCCGTCATAAGTGATATAAATGACCTTTGTTTCATAGTTTTAAAGAACATGAAAATTATTTATGGCAAAAGAAAGTAAGAGCAAACATCTACTTGAATGTTGCCATCAGAAAATGAAAGGCAAACCATCAACCTAAGATTGTGCATTATTTCATGTTCACGTCCCATCTACGGTAGGGTTGTAAGTGAACCAATGCACTCAATGAACAACTCAAATTCAACTTGATTAATACTAGCTCAAGTTCGCACAAGTAATTAAACAAATTTAAATATTTTGTAGGAACTCAAAGGCCAAATAAACCACGCTTGATTAGAGCTATTAATGTTCACAAAAAAGCTTTGTATGTTGTTCAACAAATAACTTGTTAATAGCTTGACATTAAGCTCATTCAAAGCTGATATAGTATTTAATTCAAGCATCTTTAATTAATTACTCAATAAAAATATTATGTAATTATTTATTATCAGATGTTATTTGCACAATTATGGCTCATGTTATTTCCACAATTCCGGCTCGCATTATTTCCACCTCTCATTCCATGTTTCCGAGTTTCATCGCTTACAACCTCACCAGTCGCCTACCTAAGCAAAAAATACACTAAGGTTGTGACTCGCATCACCATGCCAACAGGAGGGGATTATATTGTCTATATTCTTCTACTTCTCAACCAACTTATAATTGAAACATCAATGAGCGATATATCAGCATGTCATTATAGCCCAAGTGCAGCTTCAACAATATGCTAATGCAAGAATCAAATAATGTATGCATCAAAAGAAGAAGCAGAAGTGAGCGGGTAAGAGCCTCAAGAAGGTTGATATGGGTAAGAGCTTCTAATCCAAAAAATCTCGCTACTCTCACTTAGATTTCACAGATGACACATAAGTTGCATACTTTCCTCTCTCTGAATTGACACTACGTTTATATCAAAAACCTTAGCTATCAATTCAATGCATAGCTAATGCTCTTTCTTCCTTTTTTCCATTTTGAAAGGAAAATTTATTTAGCTTTCAAGTACGTATATATTGTTAAGAACAAAACTAAAAAATGAATCACACAACATATTTTATGACATTCAAAAATCAATCCTCCTACATCAACTTGGTAAAAATATCACTAGTTCTTATTGTAGTATGATACTAAATGTTGGCATGAATATGATATCCAGTTTTATGACATAAATCTTGTGATTGAATGGTGCTAAATATTTAGATATGTCTAACATCTCATCTCAATGTTTAGATAGTTTACAACATCTGGCTCTTAATTCGCAACCAGTAAGACACTTTTGATGATTAAACCAAGAATGATACTCGAGCAAATGTTGCAATCGATATGGTCACAAATATTGTTGAAGTTGTGAAATTTGTTACTAATGAGAACCCCTTTGAAAGGAGGAAAAGAATCAGAATTTTGAAAGTTTGGAAAGTCAAAACTATGATGCTAAAATTGTACAATGCAATAAGTACAATGCAATAATTACAAGTTATAAATGACAAATAACATTTTCAAAGTGAGTAGCTTTTCCTCGAGATGTACTAAAAGATACTCACTTGAAAAATGACATTTGTCGTATATAACTTCTACCCCAACAAAGAATTTTACGCATTATTCCTTGTTGAATTTCTTAGTTGTAAATCATTTTGACTTCAATGAAATCAAATGTCGCAAACATTTAGAGAAGTTGGTGTACACTTTCTTCCCAAAGATTGGTTCTTCTCCAGGTAAAAATCTACAATTATTTTCAAGTTATAAGATTTTTTTCAAATTAATTAATTCATTATTAATGAATCTACATATTCATTTAATGCAAACCCAGCTTATTGATGTTCTATGATTACAAGAAAGCATGCTACGTGATTTGTTAATCATATTGTTTAATGGGTGAAAAGTAATTAGATACTAATTCCATGTTTATTGAATTGGTTATTCACTTAGGCTTGCAAAATTATTTATTAATACAAGAAGCTAAGAACCAGCTCAATTTTTTAGCATGTTTATTAGCTTGTTATAGAACTCGCTCGATTAATTTTGGCGAGTCAAGTATAAGTCAAGCTTGATTATAGAAAAATATTAAACAAGAAATAACAAACATATGCATGAAAGATCGACACGAGTTTATGCTGATCATCAAGAACTTCTTGAATGACCAAGTCAAGTCTAATCCATGGTATGCTACGGTCAACTCGGTCCGGGTCAATTACAAACCTAATCATTTTAGAACAAAAATTCTCATATGCATGCCTAATTTTGTTAAATTCTTAGGTAAATCAACATTACATAAAATTAACCTATATTTAGTTGGTCAAAAAAATTAATGAATATTTTAAATAACAATAATCATAATTAAATGGTATTCAATAACTAATCAAGTACAACAAATAAGTAACCATAATTAAATATTATAATTTCCAACTTAAATTATCGCAACAAGAAACTAACAAAATATTAATAATTTCTTTTAAACCTTAAAGATTTCCTTAATTATGAATACACTAATAAATTAATTTACTAACTAAATACCTCAAGCATGTTTATCATAATTTAATATTAATAATATTTTAATGACATTAACTATAATCTAATTAATCCAAAATTAGATTAATTAATTATTTATTTATAAATTATTCTGAGTAATTAATCAACAAACTAATTATAATAGTCCCAATTGTTTACCCAAAATGATAATTAATTATTATCATTTAAATTCGAATTAAAATCAAATTAATTTTAAATAAAAATGGCAAGGAATATTTACATAATTTTTAAAATTATCAAATTATAAAATCTTTTAAAAATAAAAAATAAAAACTTATGTTAATCTCTTTTATTTTTACGAAATTAAATTTGTGCTTCTAGTTTGAAAACGTTGTATGAAGTGCATTTAGTTTGCTCTAAAAATATCTATTATTAAAATAGGCAACAAATTATACATCTAAATAATATTTTTGTTTTACCTTTTAAGTGAAAGCAAAAACAAACAAACAGAAAACAAAACCCAAACAAATATGCCTTAAGCTTACTAATATCTCATTAATATAAATTATAATAACTTACCATAATTATATCTAATATAATTCAAATAATTATTTTAATTAATCAAAGCATTCATTTCAACATGTTTCAATAATTAATGTCTAACACCCTAATAAGCATTTTCACAATTTCTAGATACAACACCTATTTGCAAAACCAAAAAAATAAAATCACAATTCCCAAACATGTTTTGTCTCACTTACTACCTACAAAAATATAAATAAAAAAACAAGAAGCATTAGTGAATACAAACATAGCCTTAGAAAATCAAACCTTTGCACATGCACATTCTCTACGATCTGAAGAGAATATAAACCAACTTAACTACAGAAAAGCAAGACCACAAGTTGGATCAACTAACATTGCTATAATGGGCCAATACTAGCCTACACGCCACCTAAATCTCCATCAAAGAAGACAGATTCATCAATCCTTCCTTACCCTGCGAATAAATCAGTCATACAACGGATTCTTCTAGTGTTTACCCAAACGGTCAAACCTAACAAGGGCCATTTCAAGACTACAGCATCTTTCAACAGTGAAAAAGATCACCTTCCCTTCTTTACAGGGTCTTGGGGAGAAAAATGATTTTATATCACTTTCCTTAAGTAAAAATAGTTTGCTCAAGCCAACGTCAGCCACCAAGAGTCAAACTACAATAAAACAGGTCCCTCAAGTCATGTCAACCAGCATTACTATAGTGGTACAAGCCTAGTCTGCACATCAGTTAATTTTTCCTCATAGAAGATGAATTCATTGGTTGCTCCTTGCTCCATGAATAACCAGTCATGCAACTAGTTCTTCTAGTGTATCCTAAAACCTAAAAGGGTCCTTTCAAAACATGACAATGCCATTGAGCAGCGATAAAGATCTTCTTCTCTTCTTTAGAAGGCCTTGAGGTTCTCATCTCCCGCTACTCAAGCACACTTTCAAAATACTAAAGAAACCCCCTTTGTAAGCCTCTTTCCTCCCTTAAGCTTAACTGCCCATTACGCCTTAATCTGCAACATTTAATGTTGATTTAAGCTACCAACAAGCTTTTCCTCCTGCTTTCTTTGTTCCAAGTCTCCTTCGTCGCTTGAGCTCAATCGTATTGCTTAACATGAGTATGAGTATGGCTCTTGGTGAAAACCCTCCTGTCAGGTTCTTAGCACCACCAGGTTGAGAGAAGAGTGCCACCTATGCCCTAATTTCGAACCACACTCCTAGCTCTAAGGCCTCTATGGAGCATCAACAAGCGCAAATCTAGTGTGGCGTCCTCATCATCATTAAAGCCCAAGGCTCTTCCTTCATCACAGCAGGTTCAGGAGAAGAGAAAATGAAAAGGGAAGTGTCTTCACTCTGCATTTGTGCTCTACAATGACATCTTTAGGTAACCAAGGATTAATGAACATGTGTCAACTTGGTAGAAACCAATAGGCATCCCCAAGATATGCCACGTCAAACCATTGACGGGTCAAAGAATGTCACATGCACCATATGAATCAACTAGAGTTTGTCCTACGCAGTCAAAATAAACTAAAAGTCTCTGGTAAAAAATAATAATTTAAAAGTAAAAAAATGTTCTTCTCAAAATTTTACATATATTCTGCAGAAACTTTAGAAATAATAAATATATCCCTTGGATTATATTCAGATTTTAGAACTAAAAATATACTTGGATCATTAAATTACATTAAATGTCCTAAAAGATCATAAAATTACGTACAAAATACTAATGAGACATTTAATGTGTATTGCTCGTAAAAGACTATATTTACACATCATGTTTATTTAAATATACTGTCATCTAATAAATATATATGATACATTTATGTCTTTGTAATTAAGAACACATTAAATGCCCTAAAAGATCATTAATATTACAAAAATTAGCTAAGGTAAATCTTAATGCAACAAACCCTCTATTCTCATTTAAATTAGAGAGATAAAAAGAAAGAAAAGATGATAGATTATGCAAATAAGGATGAACGAGTGACCAAAAAATAGAAGAGAACTATCATACAGGCACTAATGTTATTAGCAAACGTGAAGAAAGTAGAGTTGTGTGTATAGCTAGTAAAAGACAATAGATAGCAAGTATAAGCAACAAGAATAAACAAACATGTTTTCAATCAGATGTGTTCAATACGCTTCAAATGGCAACTTCAAACCAAAAAAAGTTGGGTATGTCAACCTCTCCAAGAAGAGAACTCTTGATGAACCCCAGAAATTTCTCAACTGGAAATGAGCTGTTGTTGATCCACGGAAACAGGTGCAAAAATGTCTCAATAATTTTAATATTCAAAACGAAGCATCTCTCATCATCCTGCAAAAATTCAGGGAAAATACTAATGAGAATATACAAAAGGATTACCAGTTATTTGAGAGGAAGAAGGGGCATCGGCGCAAATGTTTGCCGCAGTGTCCATCTATATACGTTGATAAAAAATTTCAATAGGCTTGCAAAACATAATAGAGAAACCTTTCCAGTTTTATCAATCAATATTTGTAAATCCAAGATTCAGACCAGCGACCACTACATTCATCTTATAGAAGAAACAAACCATCAGGTAACATTAAAAGCCTAAAGAAATTGGATAGCATTTGACGAAATAATTAGCAGGATTCAAGAATTTAAAGGTTGCTAATGATGATAGATCAGACAAGTAACATCAAATAACTACCATGCAACACCCACATCATAAAACAGTATGTTGAAATCACATTTATTTTTTTAACATCCTCTATGTTCCAGAATTTAATCGGCTGCAAATTACAAAACTTAGCACATTGGAGCACGTAAAAACAAGAAACCATTTTCTACAAATCTCACTTTATTACACTACAAATCTCACTTTATTACATATGTCCAAAATATTATTCAAAACAGCAAACAACGAAAAAACAATTGCCTGGTAATTCTTTAGCTTCTGCCTAGACATGTTCATAATCATTTGCCTGCCAAACCTAATGCTTTTCTATAACCAAATCCATGAATATTAATTATCATTAGGGAGAAAATTATCATCATATTTATAACATAAATAATTAGACAACATTATCCTTTTATTTTCATTATGTTGAGCTAGGAGTGTAAACAAGTCGAGTATCTGCCAAATCGAGCTAAGCTTGTGATGTGAAACATAATTGCATGGGTGAATTGCTTAAAGGAAATTTGCACGCTTAATATTCCAAAGGGAAAGACAAATACGGAGTTCCGGCGTAGTCACTTTGAGGTTGGGGAAGAAGTAGGCAGCAACACAAGGTTTGGGAACCTCCTGGACAGCAATCGGAGACCCTCTGGACAGCAAGACAGCAGTAGGAAATCTGCTAGGATGGCTGGACAGCAACTAAAAATGTTTGGATGGTCACTAGGAAGGCCTGGCCAGCAATTTTGACCCTTGAACAACTTTGGACAGCAGCCTTTGAGGTTAGAAACGCCTTGGACAGCACTTGAGGGATTTCTGATCAGCAAACAGGAGCAGATCTGGCAGCACTATGGATGGTCGGAGTTTCCAAGACAGCAATTTCGTAGTGGAAGTCCTCAAGGATGCTGGACAGCAGTTTTCTTGACTCCGAAATTCTGGACAGCAAATTACACCAACTTGGAATGCTGGACAGCACTGGACAGTCAGGGACAGCAGCTTGTAAGGCTAGGAACCCTTTGGACGGATCACAGGACTTGCCCAAAAGCCTGAGTAATAGCTTGGCAGGGAAAAATCTCAGATTTCCAAGGATTCCTACTGTGAATGGCAGCAGGAATAACCTTGGGATTCACATTAATTCTAAATGGGAGGCTTGATTGGGGGAATTAGGTAAGATCTAGGTGAGAAAAAGAAATTTTATCCCAAATCTGAAAATAATTTCAGGTTTTGAGTACAATAGGAGGGAAAACTAATTTGAATTTTGAATTCAAATTAATTAGAGAGGGGGGGCTTTAATGGGAATTAATGGGGCAAAGCCCATGCTAGGGCCGGCGGCAGGAAGAGAGAGAGGGAGGGATTTGGGGAGAGGTTTTGTAACTTTCAAATCAATTTATGTCATTTAGGAAAGAGAATGACAACTCAAATCCAATTTGAAATTCAAATAGACTTGGAGTTATGCACTTTCCTAATTTAGATTTACAAATAAGGAAAGTTCTTGAAATTTGAATTTCAAATTTCAAA